CACGTCCTCAACATTGCATTAGGCATCTTTTCACTGTTGTTACAAGAAATTTGTTGTATAATAGTGATCTGGTGAGCAATATTTGTGAAGTAGTCGCTGACATATATATATTAATCCTAGATGTATATGTCAACCCACATATCTCACAAATAATGTAGTTATAACAATCCATACGCTCTAACAAATCTGCTGTGGTACAGAGTACAATGTTATATATTTAACATATGTATTTATCTCAATTCATAGACTTTAATTATGATATATGAATATATCTGTTAGCTCATAAACTGTGTGTATATAAATATATACATGAATCTGCATTAAATAATACTTGTTTATGTACACATACAAAGCCACATCTTCAACACTGGACAAATAAACCTGACACAGTATGTTACAGCAGCAAATGCTGTGAAGCCCAGTCAATGGTATATGACTAGTGAAATATCTGATTTACTCAAACTCATCATCATCATCATCATCATCATCATCATCATAATCTGAGTCTTGTTCATCCATCTCAACAGTAGGGGGAGTGTAGCGGCCCCGCTTTATAGGCGGGCTGGCTCCAGAGTCTGAGGTCAAAGGGGACGGTGGGGTGTCTGGCAGAGGTGAGGAGGAAGGAGATATTGCTCGACCCAACCTCAGAGTGTTCTCTTGCAACCACTGTCCCTGAAATATGTTAAGGTATTCTTTGTTGTGCACATATAGCTGGAAATGTCAAAGGTTGAATCACAAAATTAGTCTCAACTAAAAAATGACATGATCTGCAATGATGGAAAAGTAAAATGAATCCTAGGAAACAGATGAGACACTGTTAGGAGTAAGTGTAAATGATAGACATAATAAATATTTTTTGCAAATGCACACATGTAAGAACACAATTATGGTTCTCAGCAACTTGTCTGATGTGAGCTGTATGAAGCTCTCAAAGTGCAAAAAAACCCAGCTTCAACATTGGAGATGGAGACTGAAGCTGAGTATGAAAACAGTTTTGCTGCCAGTCAGTTGATATTCTGCTCCGCCTCCAGGTTCTCTAAGGTCGTTCCTGTCTCTTTTTTTTTTCATCTGCCATCCACCAGAGGGCCTGTCCTTGCCAAAGTACTATAAGGCATTCTGCAAATATGTCCAAGCCATCTGTAGTAACTGTGGCCCCAAACACTGTGAGGCTGAGCCTTTTAGCTATCGTTGACTAAAAAGTTATTTCCATTTCTGATGATAAAATCTGTTGGACTTGGCATTTTATTCTTTATGATCCATCTAATCAGCCAGTCTGCGTTTCTGGCTTAGGTGTTGCAAACACGCTTCATAATGCAGGGGTGCTATGTTTGATCCCAGCTGCAGACTGTCTAGCTTTGGTTCCCACAGAGGTACTGAGAGTCGACCTTTCAAAAAAGCAATAGTCAACTAGGTTAGTTGCGTATCCTTTACAGGACGTTGCAGAACCAACCAAACAGCCCCTGGCTGTTGTGTGGTTTTTCTAGGCAAATTTACATCCAGTAGTTTGTTATTGCTTTCTGGACAATGGTCAACTACTGAACATAAATTTGCCTAGAAAAACCACCACAGTCAAAAAATGATGGGGCTGGTTCTGCAATGTCCTGTAAAGGGCAGGCAACTAAGCAGTAAGCTACTCTTTCTGTACCTACCTCATTTCCTCTTTCCCTGTAGTGAGTATGTAGTATGGTAATAAAAAGGCTGACAGACCTTATTACATGTCCATAACATTGAATGGGGCGTCTTTTTACTGTTTGTTAAAAGAGATCTGTTGTATAATAATGATCTGGAAAACATTATTTGTGATGTTGTCTCTTTGGTATATAGCAAAGATCTTGCAAAACAATCTTATTAGTAGTATCACATCCTCAAAGCTTGTTTTGCCTCCCAAGCCGAAGAGGTCGAAGGGTAGAGAACAGACAAAGAGAGACACCCTGATCCCCCAGTCCGGAGTTGAAGCGTGGGGTCGACACCCTAACCTTCCTAAAATGTTATCTCGTTAAGAAACAGACATCTAAGCCTCGATTTCGGATGGATTTAAACTATTCGTTTAAACAACGAACCTGGAATGTTAAAGGACTTTTGAGATTTGGAACGTGGAATGTACGAAACCTTTATAAAGCTGGAGCAGCTGAAGAACTGACCCGTGAGTTATCAAAATACAGAATGGATTTAAGGGCAATTCAAGAAATAAGATGGCCAGGACAGGGTACCATAGAGGAAAATGGAATGATCATAGTGTATGGAGGAAACACTTAAAACAAACATGAACTAGGGAAGGATTTGTTATCAATAAAAAGTTGTGGGAAAGCATTATAAATTTTGAAGCTGTTAGTGATAGGATTAGAGAGTTATGAATAAAAGGAAAATGGAAAAATATCACGATGATTAATGTGCATGCACCCATTGAAAATCAAGAAGATGATAATAAAGTAGATTATTATGATCTTGAGAATATCACAGATAAGCTAAAAAAAACGAGACATATTGATTGTATTAGGAGATTTCAATGCAAAGATAGGAAGAGAAAACACCCATAAAAATGTAGCAGGTATGGAAAGCCTACATACTAATTCAAACAATAATGGATGGAGATTAATCAAACTCACCGTAGCGAAAGGACTGCAGAAAAGCATCACCAGATTTCAAAGAAAAGATATACATAAACAAACCTGGCAATCATGTGACAGGATAACTTATAATCAGATAGATCACATTTTAATAAATAACAGAAATACATCAAACATACAACAAGTTAGAATCTACAGAGTAGCCGAGCCTCATAGTGACCACTACCTGGTTGGTGCAAATTTAAAAATCAAGTTAAACAGATCCTTCTACATCAAGTTGCAAAGATCACATCCAGAGTACAATAGAGAAAGATTACAAGAAACATCCATCCATATCAGAGAAATTTGCAGATGAATTGAAACATAAAACTGAAATTGTACAAATTCCGTCAGAGGAAGACATTGACCAAACCTGGATGGATATTAAGAATATAATTCAAACCACTGCAGAAGAATGCCTTGGTGTGTCCACCATAAACAGAAAGAATAAATGGTTCGATACAAAATGTGAAGAAGCAGTCAGTAAGAAAAAACATGCCAGGCAGATTAGGCTAAATGATACTAGTAACATTCAAAATGAAGAAAAATACAGAACAGAATGTAAAGAAGCTACAAAAGTAGTTAGGCACCAAAAGCGAGTATACATGAACAATATTGTCATGGATATGGAAGCTAACCATCAGAGCAACAAATCCAGAAAGTTTTTTTAAAGAACTGAAGGCTGTAAAATGAGGACATCAACAAAGTATTTATAGTTGAAAAGATCACAATAAGAACATGATGAATAATAATGAGGAAATATGTAACAGATGAAAGGAATACTTTGCTGAATTGTTAAACTGTGAAACCCCACTTAATACTTGTTAAGAAGAAGATATATTAAAATGTGAATCAAAAACTAAAGAGCCTGATTTTAAAGAAGTACTGTAACACAGCTTAAAAATAATAAAGCAACTGGTGCTGATGGAATTGCAGCTGAACTTTTAAAAGAAAATGGTCATGAATTACATGTAAAGATATATGAATTAATAAAACTAATTTGGAAGACGGAGAAATTACACCATGAATGAAAAGTGTTTTTATTAATATCCATTTTTAAGAAAGGAGACAAGTATAAGTGTGAAAATTATAGAGGAATATCATTGTTATCAACAAGCTATAAAATATTATCGGTGGGCTGCTAAACAGGCTAAAACCATACGTCGAAGACATATTGGGAGATTACCAAGCCGATTTCGGACAAAACAGATCAACAATAGATCAGATATTAATTTTACGGCAAACAGCAAAGCAAAATTAGGAATACATAAAAAATGTACATAATGTGTTTGGGGATTTTAAAAAGGTATTATAGTCTGCATAGAAACAGTTTATGGAATGCTATGAAGGACTTTAAATACCAAAAAAAGGTTAATTAGCATGACCTAACTATGTATGGAAGACACTCGTAATAAAGTAATACATAAAGGCAGAAAGTCAGACCCTTTTCAAATAACATCTGGTTTAAAGCAAGGTGATGCTCTGTCCTCACTTCTATTCAACTTGGCCCTGGAGAAAATTATAAGGAAACTGAAACAAGAGTGTACTATAGGAGAAACTACAAGAATACTTGGATATGCTGATGACATTGATATCGTTGGAGAAAATGAACTAGAGACTGTTAAAACACTGACATCTTAAAAGTATCAGCTCAGAAAATGGGACTAGCTATTAATCAAGATAAGACAGAACACATGATAATAACTAGACAGGGAAAGGATATAAACTCCAGCCACATACAAGTCCATAATATGAAAATCAAACGAATGGAAACATATAAGTACTTAAGTGCAAACTTCAACTGCTCCAACATGCTGAGAGAAGAAATACAATCTGGAAATAAAGTATACTTTGCTTTTCAACATCTGCTAAACTCAAAGTGTCTGTCTTGCAACAACAAGATCAAAATATATCAAACGTTGATTAGACCAGTCTTGGTTTTTGAAAAAAGAGTCTTATGACAAACCTTTGGACCCATCAAAGATGCAAACAGCGGTGAATGGAGAGTGAGAAGAAACAATGAAATTCATAATCTGTTTAAATCACCACTGATCACTGGCATCATGAGAGCTAATAAACTGAAATGGTTGGGACATACTGAAAGAATGTCAGATAAGTAAAAACTGTATACACCAGGGAGATGAATGGTTGTAGACCTTAAGGCAGACCAAGAGGATGATGGAGAGATAATATCCAGATAGACCTGCAAACACATGGTTGGTGTCACCAACTGGAAAGAGAGGGCCAACCAGAGAAATGAATGGAGGCGGGTGATATCTGCAGCAATGAACCTCAAGGGCTCGGAATGCTGAAGAAGAAGAAGATATCCTTTAAGTACTGAAGACACTACAAAACAAAAAGCACCACACAAATAGCTTGTTAGCAAAATCTCACCAATTTTCCTTCTTTGCCAAACATTTCCACAAAGTTGCCAATGAATTCTTTGGACTTTTCTTCCCACTTGTGGAGCATTTCATTGCCCTTTCCTATCTGGCCCTTCCATTTATCCATGAGATCTTTACCCTTGTCCTTAATCTTGTTCTCAAGCTTCTCATAATTGTCTTTAAACTTGAGTCTTTTAGCCTGCAACAGTTTATTAACACAAACAGTGATGTGACTTATAAACACAAACAATTGTAGAGGTCATATGCAAATGTTCACCTGCTTGATTCCTATATCCCTGCTTCTCCTTTTAATTCTTTTAATCCCCTTCACCTCCTTGTTATTCTAACGACTGCTTTCTTAATATGTTTACTGTTGTGTTCTAAGATATCTTGTGTATATCTTGCACACGTTCATTTTAGAGAGAGGAAAGGACTTGGGAAAATTAAAAAGAACATGCCTTCTCCATGTGTATTTTTAGTTATATGCTGGTTGTCCTCATGGCATTCTAGACACATTCACACAAGCTCAGACTTCCCTCTAAACATCAGTGTCCATGGCTAATAGTGCCAGATTAAAGCTAGTTAACAAGTAAGACCTCTCAAATTTTTGCCATGGCTCTCAAGCTTGGCTGTGTCAACCTTTACTCTCACCTCTTTCATTCTTGGCAATAATGAGATCAGACTGCTCCCACATTCCTCCAACCATCCACTCTAGGGGCATTGATAATGCTGGCATGATCCACAGGCTGGTCACCCACAACTTAGACAGAGCTAACCTACTTATCAGATCTTGTATCTACACATTTCTTAGCATGCCTTTAGCCTTCGGTTTAACTGTGATAGATATCTTAATGTATGTATTACATACAGCATACAGGAACTGTTGTAAACTAGATATATTTATGGGATAAAGGCACTCAATACATTTCATGGTAGGGATATGGTTTAAATGTCAGTTTCTGTTTAATTAAGAATCAGCATCACGGCACTGGGGACACTGCCATAAGCGCTCTGTTCCCCTCTTCAGCAGCAAGCACAGAGTTCTAATTCCAATGGTACTAATAGCAGTCTGATTGTATATCCATCCCACCTTTCCCTTTAGCGCTGATCGTGGACCAGATTTCCCTGGTGACTCCTCTTCAGATCATGATGATGATTCATCTGTGCTTCCGCACTGTTCACTCGCTCCCAAAGGGCCCTTACACATCTAGCTTGTCACGTATCAATTCAATACTAAGATGAGCAGAATGAGCCAGTCTATATGCCTGTTCATTTCCTAATACACCGGTATATCCTAGGGTTACATCAGAAGGACAGTAACTACCTGGGACTTCTGAAGCAATGTTTGCCACTCTTCACAGAGCATACTGGTCTCCACCTTTCTCAACATGCTCTGTGATTTTCCAGTCTGAGAAAGGCAGCAGGGACTACCTCCATGTTCGTTCTCAAACTAGATGTTGTGGTGCTGTCAGTTTCTGGTAAAAATACTGGTGGTACCAGCTGCAATCTGATTATATGTTTCATTTTCCTTTCTTCTGAGCACTGATACTAGGCCAGATGGTCTGCTCCCAGTTGCATCATTCTCTCCAAACTGTGAAGATGTGTTCATAGTTTCCCAAAGAAATATCTGCTACCCATTTCACAAGACCACGACCACCCCTGGGCTGTTTTCTTGGGACATAAACACTCCCCACCCCTTGAAAGTAATTCTGCTCTACTGTTATGGCACAACCATTGTAGCAATCAGACTAGAACAATATTCTCTGGCAAATAATCCCTGTTCAGGAAGAGATAGAACTAGAGTCTTAGTTCTTCATGAGAATATTATATGTGAACAAGTTAATACATTATCTGTAAACAAGTTAACATTAATTCACTATCTATGAACCTTGTTAATAATAATACACTATCTGTGAACAAGTAAACATTAATTCACTATCTATGAACCTTGTTAATATTAATACACTATCTGTGAACAAGTTAATACACTATCTGTGAACAAGTTAACATTATTTCACTATCTATGAACCTTGTTAATATTAATACACTATCTGTGAACAACCTAGAAGCCCAATAAGCACACAATGCACCAATTTTTTGTCTTTCTACTACCTCTTAGGTCGGCTCTGTGGCTAAGTCGATCAGAACGCTTCGTAATGACGGGATGCCAGGTTCGATCCCAGCTGCGGTCCTGCGCCTTGCATTGTTTTTGACAGTGGTATCAAGAAAGCCGACCGTCCAGAAAGCAATGCCAAACTACTGGACGTAAATTTGCCTAGAAAAACCACACAACACCCAGGGGCTGTTGGGGTTGGTTCTGCAACGTCCTGTAAAGGATACGCAACTAACCTAACTACCCCTTGGGCTCTGGTGCTAAACCTCCTGAGACTGAAAGAGTTAAAAAACTACCTGTGAACCAAGTTAATACACTATGTGAATAAGTTAATATATTCTCTGTGAACCAACTGAAAACACTAATTTCTGAACCAACCTTCATGTAGCTAACATTCAACTCCTTATGTGAGTATCCTCTGGCCAGATTTCTCCTGATATACACATCATAGTCTTTGATAATTCTGGTTATCACATCGGTGGTAGAGACACCTTCTGTTCTCTCTGTGGCCAGGAACCTTCAATGAAATGTTTAATAACATCAAGCTTTTAGAGCAAAAAGATATCCAAAGACAATCAGTGGGTCGTGGCTTTAAAAAAAAGGGCCACAATGTTTTCTAGGAGTCAGAAAAAAGGGTTGGTTGGGGGTAAAGGGTTCCTGTGTGTGCAGGTGGAGAAGAAGAGGGTTCACAAAGTAACAGGCTGCAATTAGTGTTACAGGAAATGTTACCCTTCACTTCAAACATTTTCAATCCTGCTCTTGTTAAATGCTGTTGTCATAATGTCTGAAGTGGATCTGAGAGGTTTTTAAAAAGTAATCACAAATAACAGTCACATGGTGACAGACCAGGATATCGGGCAGGTGTGTCAAGACTTCCTATTTCTTCATGACAGTAGTGACAAAATATTTATTGAACAACCAAAATCTTTCTTCGCTGATGGTATCCATCATCACTTCAAGCAGTGGGATGCATGTCCAATTGTCTAAAGCAACTTCTTCTGGCAAGCATTTCAAGCACCTAATGTAAACTGCTACAAATATCATCTGCAATCATTTATCTCTGTGACTTTCTTCTTTCTGGTTGATGACTAAGTATATGCAGGTCTTCTTCACTTCCTCTTTTCCCACTCTGGGTGTCGAGGGAGAAATAAGCTTCTGCTTCTTACTATCCTGGCTGCCTCGACTGTAGATACACCGTGCTGCAGTAGAGTTTCTCTGATGTAATTTTTTCAACTTGTTCTTTGTCTACCTCATGCTCCTCGTCCCTCTGTTCTTTAGTGTATGCTATGTATAGTAGTAAGGCATCACAATATATTCTAAGTGGGCAAACTATTTAATCTGCTGTCTTTGTATGTAATTTAGAATTTCTGTGCCCTTTTCTCTTAGGACCTTATTCCTGATTTGATCTCTTCTAGTCATTCCTGCAGCCCTGCTCAGACATGTCATTTCTGTGCTTACTAATTTTCTTTTCTGTTCTGTTGTAAGTGACCATGTCTGCTACTGGTGGCAATGAATATGGTTTGCATAAGGTGTTTCTCTGTGCTGATTGAGATCATCTTATGCTCTAAGAGGGGAGGCTAGCCATTCCAATAGCTGGTTTGCTTTATTGCATCTGATTTTAATTTCTTTATCCAAATCATCAACTTCGGTGAACGTGGTTCCCAGATATTTAAACTCAGATGCCTGTTTAATGCCTCTGCATGGCAAGTGTGATAATTTAGGTTTTGCTGACAGCCCATGGGCGACAGCAGTTAATCTATCAGCCTGCTCATTAGCATGCACACCCGAATAAATAAACCATATGCTTCTTATCTGATTCTTATGAGGATCAGAAACCTTTTACATCTTCAGTCTGTTTGTGCTGAAATATATATTGCTTTTCTGAAGCAAGGCAGTGATAATTACCCTCAAAGACAAGATCCAATATGTTCAATGATATGAGAAAATATTTGGTTTACTCTTACATTCCTCTCTCCTTTACAAACTTGTAGACATCATCAGCTGATCCCATTGTGTATGGAAGCTCATCATGGGCAACAAAGTCAATCTGGCAAACAATAACATTTATTTCAAGCTGGCCAAACTTCCCCAGAATAAACTCATATATAAAGCAGCCATACACATGCATTAATACCACACTACACTAAGATTACACATAAACATTTGGAAACATTATTAATAAAGTAAAAAAAAGGGACCCTTTTCCACAACTCCAGGCATATTGGGTATTTAGGACTAGACCTATATTTTACAGACCAATTGGCACTCTGTGGGTGATGTGGTCAACATTATGCCGGGCCGCCTTTACTTCCAAGTACTGCACCCACTTAAGGTTGGGTCGACCTGGAAGCCAAAGTCATTTTTTTTTAGAAAGCCCAGTTCCGTCAGGACCTGAACCCACGACCTTCAGATCTGCAGGCAAGCATCAAGCCACTACACCACGACAACTATCAATAAAGTAACAAGACACAAATCAAAATATCAGTAAAGTAAAACCTTGCATGCAGTATATAGGTACTTCAGTTAAATGTTCAAAATGCCCTCTACAGCAATAAAACCAGCACAGTTAGATAGCTGTAAACAATCTCTTTCCAATGGTACCTCATTTAGGCTTGTATGTCATTTCTGAGCTGAGATATCTAGGTTTTTGTGGAGATGAGATGTAGAAAGCAGCCGCTAAAACTTGTGACCCAGAAACAAGAAGTTTTCTCTGCGCAACCTACTGTGCAGTTATCGTTTTGGCTTTGTTTACATTGGACTGTCAATGGACAAGATGGCAGACAATGAGACACAGCCACTGGCTGAGCCAGCGATTAACTGAAAAATGTCACTGTACATCTACCTAGCCACTGACAAGAAATAAATTTTATATACAAATGTAAAATTGGACGGAGAATTCAATTATAACTAGCATTACCATGTCTAGTAACAGTTAAAGCCTAAAGCCAACCCTGAATACTTTTCGCTATTTTCAATCAAACTGATGTAACAGAAAAACAGAGGACGTCCGGCTGTCGTAGACATGCGCTGTTAATCGAGTTCCATCCCGCCGTTTTCAGCTATTTAGAGTGGGTGAAAATCACACCAATCGCAAAATTTCATGAGAGATTAGGACCCATCCCGAAACCCCAGCCGACATTTGCGAAACAAGTTTCGAACGGTTTCCGGGTAACGGAAATTGCCGAAGAGACAGCAAATTGCCGAAATCGTAGTTGCTACAGTATACATGAGCCAGGGACTATCTTCAATCTGTAAGGATCACGTTCAGAGTCTTTCAGCTAAAAAGCTCCATAAACATTATTAGAATACCAGGGACCAAGAAGAAAGGCAATACTGACACTGAACATCAATGAAAAGTGGCTTATAAACAGCATGCTGTCTCAGAAACTAAAATACTTTGGCTATACCAAAAGTATCAAAGGGACTATTTTCAATCTGTAAGGATCACGTTCAGAGCCTTTGAGCTGAAAAGCTCTTCAAAGATAATTAGAATACCAGGCACCAAGAAGAAAACCAATACTGACACTGAACATCAAGGAAAATTGGCATGTAAACAGCATGCTGTGTCAGAAACTAAAATACTTTAGCTATACCAAAAGTAACGAAGGACAGGGTATTAGGTAAAAGAAGCAATGGCTGACCAGCAGGAAGCTTAGTACAGGGCATACAGGAGAGACATGGACAAGGTCTGGTGGTGAAGGAGGGAGTGAAGCATGTGGTGCTTGACTTGAGCCAGTGGAACCACAGTGGAAGAGAGGTTCAAGGGATACAGGTGGAGATTGGTGGCTTAAGTTGGAACCTCATAAATATATATGCCACGGTAGACTATTTTGTCAGAAGTGAACAATAGGGCTGGCTCAAGGAATTGGGAGGAGTTACCAGGTGATAGGTTACTCATATGTGGGGATTTCAAAGCGAGGAACAGAGAATGAGACAGCAGTGGAGAAAACTGACAGGGAATTGCTCTTGGAGAGGCCATGGTTGACCCCGATATGGTCTGCATCAATGATGAGAGGCGGACTAGAATGACAATGAGGTCTAAGAATGCAGACACAGCCAGTGACTTGACATTTGTCTCTCAGTCGTCGGTTTTAGATGTTAAATGGACTGTCCTGAATGATCATGGGTGTGATCACCTACCTTGTTCAGTCTTGATTTCGAAACCTAGTATGGTTAAGGTTGGGAGAGCATGCAAGACCTTCCGGTATAAGTGGACCAACAACCTGCTTGGACGCCTCAGACATGCAAAAGAACTGCCAGAACTAATTTTCTACAGCCCCCATTGTGGACTTCAGAAGTAGAACAGGCGTGGAAGGCAAAGAGAGCCGCAGTGAAGCAGCTAAAGAAAGCACGACAGACACCCTCAAGCTCACTAGAGGAAGTGGAGATGGCGGAGAATGTGAAAAAAGATAAGGTGGAGGTTTTCAAGCGCTATGCTGCAGAGGCCAAAAAAGCAAAGTGAGAAACTTTTGTGAATGATATGGGAGGCGATACAATATTGGGAAAATTCTGAAAACTGCAAAGGCAGATGCAAAGAAAAGATTGGCCTATGACAGTCAGAACAATTTGTAGAGACGATGGTGTGTGTATGGCAACAGACAAGGAGAGAGGGGAGGCTTTTTTCTATAGGTTTATAGCTCAGACAGATCATAATGATGTAGACATCAAGGATGCAGTTAGAAAGGAGTTAGCTGGCACCTTGAAGAATATGCATTATAAAGACATGATACTAGTGGAAGATATCAAACAAATTTTGAAAAAAGCAAAAGACACTGCATCAGGGCCTGATGGAGTCAGGTATGGTCACATAAAGGCTTTGAGCGATGTAGACCTGGCAGAGATGGCTGACTGTTTTAACCAGAGCATTAAGACAGCATCAGTACCGTAGGACTGGGTGCACAGCAATCTAATCCCACTAACGAATCCTTTTAAAGATCACTCTAAGCTCAGTGGTTTTAGAATTATCACCTTACAAAACACATTTGGGAAGGTCTTGGAGAAGATAGTTCCTGTAAAGCTGCAAGAATTTTTGGAAAGGGGGAAGCTTCTCCCAAGAGGTCTGGGAAAATACAGGCCAGGAAAGGACACATGGGCAAATGCTGCCATTTTTGCTTTTCACGTCTATAAAGGGTTACAGAACAGACAGGAAACTATGGCAGTATGACTGGATCTCCAGGATGCTTATAACAGAGTGAGATACGACATCTTAATGACTGCACTGAACAAGAAGGAGGTCAGTCCATGGCTGCTGAACTGGGTTGCAGCTGTCCTGTATTCACGTCAGGCTGCTCTCCGACTGGGCTCATGGAACTCAGAACCATGCAGTTTGGCCCCAGGACTGCCACAGGGATCCGCCATCTCGCCTGTGCTCTTTAACGTGTATACGAGCAAGACTGCAAGCCTAGAAGCACCAGGTGTTGGAAGGAGACTGACTTTCGCGGATGATATACTTGCATATAGAAAGGGGAAAGAGAGGGAACAAACAGCCTGGGAGCTACAAGCGACAGTAGACAAAGTGACTGAGTGGTGCACAGCAATGAGGGCTGTCGATAACAGAATCGTTAGAGCTAATGTCCCAAGTATCACAATAGATGGTAGCAACGTTAACAGAGAGAGCAAACTGAAGTATCTGGGAACTACATTTGTCAGGAGCCTGGCCTTTAAGGACCATGTGGAGAGTGTTGTGACGAGATGCCAAAAAGGACTTAGTGCACTTAAGACTATGGCTGCAACTGACATAGAGCAGAGAATGCTTTTCACACTATATCAGCATCTGATCCTGTCAGTGGTTGATTATGGCCTGGGACTGCTTACCGTCTCAAAAAGTCAGATAGACAAACTAGAGCACATACAGAACGCGGCTATGTGGGTCATGCTGGGTTGCACCAGAGACACCAAAGTGGTTTGTATGCGATACATTCTTGGTTTGCCGACGGTTGCAGGTAGGCACAAGGTGCTGCAGATGAAGTCATATCTCAGGGTAGCTGCAAACACATACCACCCTTTGCTTTGAAACTCTGGGTGTGGTTAAGGGTCAGCGGCTGATAAGAGGGAGGTCATGGATGGCACAGGCAGAAGACGGTTCATTGTCAAGAGGCAAAAGAAGTACTTGGGGCTTCTTAGTAAAAGTTAATGGTCGACGTTTAGTGCAGGAGAGCCTTGCATACGATACCACAACATCCAGCTTAAGAATGGAGGTGGAGGCGGTCACTGCAGCTTTCCGCTGGCTAGAGAACATGACACACACACACCGTGATGGTAACTGACTCAGAAAGAATGCCGAGGAACGAACGAACGAACGAACGAACGAACTTTATTTTCAAAGGGTCACAAATTGGGCACGCAGGCCCGTCTTACATTCGGCCCTTCCAGTCAACCATCTTTCGCACAGCAGTTGTATTTTACTAATAAAGCATGTTATGATCATATGATGTTATGCATATTATGAATATTATAAAAGAACACAAAAGCATGAGTTGTAAAGTGCATGCAAAAACCCGCGCGTGCATACATACACCAGCATAAACACGCTCACCCACTCACTTACACACACAAACATGCATGCATACATTACATACATACATACACAGATACATATAAACAAACATGCATACACACATACACACAGGCATACGTACACACAAACATACAGGCATACATACATACGTAATACAGGCATACACACATACAGTCATAAATCCAGTCATGCATGGAGACACACTCATGCACACACGGACACTCCCACAGAGACACAAACACTCAGACAAAAATACAGACACACACACAGACACTTACATATAAATACACACAGGGAAACACACAGCACACATATTTACATTCGTGCTCACACACTGACACACACACAACACATACGCAGACAAACATGCAGACACATACATACAGCCACATAGACACACACGCAGTCAAACACACACACACACACAAATACAGACAAACAGGCAGACAAACACATACTGACACCCACAGAGACAAACACGCAGAAATGCATATACATACAAACACATAGAAATACACACGCAGACACATATATTCAGCACGCACAGACATATACTCTGACATGCAGACACATACAGACAACAAAGGGGCTCACACAACACACACAGAGAAACACACATAGACATGCACAGACAGACAGACACATGCTGACACATACAGTCAGGCAGACAGACATACAGACACCCACACACAGAGATACATACATACAGCCTCATAGACACACCCGCAGACAAAACACATAAACATACACAGGCAAACATGAAGACAAACACATACGGGGACACACACAGACACAAACGAAGATATACACACAGTCACATCAAATATGCAGAAAAAGAAACCAGTTCACACTGAAACATACACGTGGACATACGTGCGAACACACACACATTCGCACATACACAAGGACACAAACGCATACATTCGCAGACACACACGCAGATACACAAGCAGACAAACAACATACTTAGAGTCATATATATATACAAACACGCCTACACATACATACATATCAAGCACACGCGCGCGCGCAAACATACATATCATACACACCTTGTTTAATAATAAATTGATAATGCAATATGGGTTGCATTACATTTAAGGTGGCATGTAATCGCTTGTAAGTATGAATTGAAAAAGTTTACGATTGAATGAACAGGGACTTTTAGAATTTTTCAGGTCTAGTGGAAGTTGGTTCCACAAATGAGCAGCGGAGTACGCTAAACTTGTTTTATATAAATCTATTCTAGGTTTAGGTAGATGTAATAAATTTAGTCGCTTGCTATTTATAGGATTTGATTTAATTAATCGGAAAAGGTAGTTTGGAGTATTTTGAGATAAAATTTTATGAATAAATTTGGCCTTGTTGAAAATTAAACGTTTGCTAAATGGCAATAGATGTTTATAGAGATTATTTTTTACGATATGTTTATTATCTGAAACCAGGCGATTTTGAAGAGAACTTAGTCTTTTAACATTGGATTGGGCGCAACCATCCCAAACTGTGGAACAATAGTCGACATGTGTTTGGATATAAGACGCGTAAAATACTTTTCTTGCATCTTTGTCTAGAAAGTGCTGAATTTTTGCAAGCTGATAAACCTTTTGTGCTATTTTCTTAGTTATCACAGAAACATGAGAATTCCAGGTTAAATGGTCAATTGTAAGGCCTAAAGTTTTGTGTTCCGTTACATTAGCAATAGGTAATTTATCAATGTAGAACTCGAGTGTCGGCTTGTGCAGTACTAATGTTTGCAACTTTTGTCTGGTTGTTATAAGCATAGACTTCGTTTTATTTATGTTAATTTGCATGCGATTGCTGTTGCTCCATTTACAAAGATTGTGTACTTCTTTCTGTAAAGATCTTTCTAACTCATTACGATTCTCATTACTAGTATATATTGTACAGTCATCAGCAAATAAATCGCATGTTATACTAAGATGTAATGGAAGGTCATTAATATACGTGAAAATAGTAGTGGACCTAGAATCGACCCCTGTGGCACGCCTATATTTAAATAAGTGGATTCTGACAAGCGGTTGTTGAAGGATACTACTTGCTGTCTATCAGATAAAAATGACCGCATTATTTCGACTAAATTATCGTTAGTTTTTAATATTTTTAATTTATTAATTAGAATATCATGATCAACCATATCGAAGGCTTTCTTAAAGTCTACAAAAACTGCACCGCAAATTTAGCCTTTGTTGATGTTAAAGTGCCAGTTGTCTGTCATTTTTGTCATCGCAGTATGGCAAGAGTGCATAGGCCTGAACCCTGATTGGCTATCAACTATCAGATTGTTGTTATTTAAATGCTGAAACGTTATTTTATGTATGTGTTTCTCCAATGGTTTGGATAGCGAGGACAGTAGAGAAATGGGTCTATAACTGCCAAGAGAATTGTTGTCAGCTGAGCCAGGTTTGAGTAGAGGATACACTTTAGCAATTTTAAATGCTGATGGAAAGTAGTTCTTAGAAAGGCACTGATTATATATGAATGTTAGGGAGTCACTAATGACTGGTGCAGCACATCTAAGAATTTGATTACTGATTCCATCTAAGCCAGAGGAGTTTGTTTGCTTGAGGTTGGAGAGATATTTATATACTTCAGCAACAGACAGAAATGGGATCTCTGGAGAAATAGTCGTAGTGCATTTTTCCTCACAGAATGATGCTAGTAGGCTTAAGTCACACTGTGAATCTGGTATTGATGACTTTAAATACTCAATTTCTGATTTGAAGAAGGAACTGAACGTTTCACATGTTAGCGAATTAGGTATTGCCTGATCTGAACAATGTTTCTTATTGGTTAGCGTATTAATAGCCTTCCAGATATCGGCACTGTTTGTTTTATCTTTAATTAATCTATTAAAGTGGTCTTTTTTCACTTTACGAATTTCATATTGCACTTTATTTCTTAATTCGCGATAAGCAGTAAAGTTTTTATTTTTATGTGCCGTATCCCGCTCTCTCATAATTTCTAGAACTGCACTAGTTATCCACGGTGATTTAGTTTGGTTTTTTACTCTAACTTCCTTAACTGGTACATGTTTATCAAAAACACCGTAGACTGTTTTAGTCCAGTAGGCTATAGCGTCGTCAGGTTCAGGAAGTTGATAAACATGATCGAGCTGTACATTTTGCAAGTCTCGTAAGAATAAATCCGGATTAAAGGTTTTGAAACATCTAAATTTAATAGTCAAATGCTTATTTTTAGGAGCTCTAAATTTACCTTTTGACCAGGTAATGCATACGGGATAATGGTCGCTGACTGCACTAGCAGGAACAGTACATTCAATAATATTTGTTGGACAAGACACATAGATGTGATCTAGTATAGTTGAGGTGGTTTCTGTCACTCTCGTGGGCCGGTTGATTAGTTGTTTAAAGTTATAGGATAGGATGATATCTCGCCATGTTTGGTTTAGTTTCTTTGCATCAATGTTGAAGTCTCCTAGAAGAATAATTTCTTTTCCTAAGCTAAACACTCTATCCAGCATAGAAGTGAAGTCGTCATACCAATTGTTACCTGCACACGGATTTCGATATAGGTAACCAATGAAAAGCGATTGCTGGTTTGACGGCTTGACTTCCAGCCAGACACACTCTACTTCAGAACAGGTATGCTTCGTGGAGAGTGGCATGATCCGCTGCGGAGGACACGGGTGAGGAGTATTGTCTGGATTTTTTCACTGGGTTACACCGGTGTGTTGGGAAATGAACATGCGGACAGACTGGCTGGCTCTGCACAACTTGGTAGAATATTGAAAAATTATAAGGCAGACATGGTTAGTGCCCTGTGGGAGAGCGTGTACAGTTCGGAGGAGCAGATGGATCACCACAGTCTGGTGAGATTGATGCAGGGAGAAGTGACGAGAGGTTCTGGCAGATGCTCTAGGCTCAGAGGAAAGGCAAGACAGACGTTTAATCAGAATGCTACTGGCACCATTAGTATCGGAACTCTTCACTGGCTGCTGAAGATGGGAACGGAGCGCTTATGGTAATGCCCCGAGTGCTGTGATGTCGGTTCTTGAATCAAATCAATTCAAATCAGCGCATACCAAGGTAGGAAAGTATATGAGGCAGGAGAACTGGTGAGGGACAGAGTTTCTATCAGGTGGGATGTGACGGAAGTGACATTCTAAAAAGTTGCTTCCATATGATGTTGATACATGCAGTAATACTACACACAGCAGTGAAATGTATATCACCCCCAGTGTCTGCCTCTAATTCAAGAAGACTGGATACAAATCAAGCTGTGGAATTTTGAAAAATGTAGAACCATGAAATATTATACTTGCCACAGACTCTCAGACACTTAGCCTTCTGAGATGAACATAAAGCTAAGAGGATCCATAACCATGATGAATTTGTTAAAATATACTGTTCAGTTCTGAGGAAAAACCAGGACTCAAGTCAAGAAATGATGCACATGTCAAACACACAGGACAACGGAAATCAATAGCCAGTTAGAGACACCCAAACTTAGCTTAAACATGAGAAAAACCTATTGTTGGGTGCCCACCTGATGTTCTCTGTCAAGTGGATGTGAAGTTATCAGTCACACGGGTGGAGGTTGCTATCTCCAACAGGTATATATACAGCTACAAATCTTCTCCCTCACATACAACATGACACAAATTTAAACAAGAAATATATTGGTCAGTATTTCCCTGACAAAGTGACATGGCCATTCAGACTAAAACATGTATTCTCCACAATGCAATGAAACATGAAGGCTTCACAGCAGTCATTCATGCAGCAGTCACTGTCATTTTCTCATTATTATCCTGGTTTGTTCCAAGGACAGTAACAATATACATACAGTATTAAGACATTTTCAGAAACACTGTACTAGTTTTACATTCTCAAACCTTATGTTTTTCAAGGAAGGCCATGTCTAGAGTCCAAGGAGCATCAGTGAGAACCTCATCAACATAACGACAGTGTCGAATTGTCTCATACCGCTCTGTTTCATTCATAACTGTCCGCCCCTTGTTCCTGAATGTGAGCTCATCACTGCAGACTGCAATCAATGATAATTACTGATGTTATTTGCACAGACAGTAACATTAACATAACTAATAACAGAGTAACACACAGTTACAGTAAAAGAACCTGACATACTGTACATCAAGCAAATACACATGACAGGTCACTTTCAATGGGCAGTGGAGAATATAAAGGCTAGCTGTCCTGTCAGACACTGATTGTGTCTATACCTGTGAATATTTCTGGTGTTCTTTCTTACATATGATGATAAGTTCTTTAGGTTTCAAAAACAAATTAAATCAACTGTCATGTCATCATTCTGAAGTTAGACGTTTATATATTTTACTTTATGGGTTCAGTTCAATTCATTACCATGCATGTTGTAAAGTGTGGCTAATTAGGGGTTTACTGATATCAGATTGGGTGGGTCAACAGGTTTAGATATCACTGCCTAGCTGTGAACCACAACACAATGTGTCAACTGGCCTTTTGAGGGTTAGAGCAGAAGTGCAATTCATAATTACTGAACAGTCTACAGGTGCTACAATTCCCTTTATAATAAATCAATCAGTGGGATGCAACTACATTTATACTTGTTCTTGTTCTTCTTCTTCTGTTTTAATCTCACTGATACCAGGTTGTAGCCCAGTGTTGTGGTTTTCTCATGTAGTAGCAATCAATTACTGTTTCATGTCTTCAATGTGGTCACTGCTTCGTGTCTCTAATGTGGTCCTTGCTTCGTGTCTCTAATCTGGTCCTTGCTTCGTGTCTTTAATGTAATCCTTGCTTTGTGTCTTTAATGTGGTCCTTATTTCGTGTCTCTAATGTGGTCCTTGTTTCATGTCTTAAATGTAGACTTGTTTCATGTCTCTAATGTGGTGCTTGTTTCATGTCTCTAATGTAGTCCTTGTTTCATTTCTCTAATGTGATGCTTGTTTCATGTCTTTAATGTGGTCCTTTTTTCGAGTCTCTAATGTGGTGCTTGTTTCATGTCTTTAATGTGGTCCTTGTTTAATGTCTCTAATGTGATCCTTGTTTCATGTTTTTAATGTGGTTCTTTTTTCATGTCTCTAATGTGGTGCTTGTTTCATGTCTCAATTGTGATGCTTGTTTCATTTCTCTAATGTGGTGCTTGTTTCATTTCTCTAATGTGATGCTTGTTTCATTTCTCTAATGTGATGCTTGTTTCATGTCTTTAATGTGGTCCTTGTTTCATGCCTCTAATGTGATTATTGTTTCATGTCTCTAATGTGATCCTTATTTCATGTCTCTAATGTGATCCTTATTTCATGTCTCTAATGTGATCCTTATTTCATGTCTCTAATGTGATCCTTATTTCATGTCTCTAATGTGATCCTTATTTCATGTCTCTAATGTGATCCTTGTTTCATGTCTCTAATGTGGTTCTTCATGTCTTTAATATTGTCCTTAAGCCTAATCTTTAAACTGGATGGGCACACAACACTGAAGTCCTGGAACAAGGCCAAAGTCTAAAAGAGGGCAAACTACCAAAACTTTCTGCCAGTTACAGCCAGTGAAAGCTAAAACAAAACAAAACAAACAAACAAGAGCTTTTAATGTTGCACTTGTATAATGTGTTTAAAGTGGGATTCATTTCATGACTTTAATCAGGTATTCATTTAATGATTTAATGTAGTGACTGTTTAATGCAGTACTTGTTTAATGTCTTTAACTCTTTCTGGGCATATTTGCCACTAAAGTCCTGGCTGAATTTTTTACATTTAGACATATCGCCCCTAAAGTTGTGACGACATAGGAAATTTAATATTGTTTTATTTGCTAGTAAAATGAATTTGTATAAACCTGTTTTGAAAATCTAGGGTAAGCAAAACAAAGTTTTTGTTGTCTAAGTGTGCGAGCGAGAGGTTTAATTTTGGAGTTGTTTTACAGTGTGATACAAATTTGTGAGGTTTTTTTTATTTGGTGTTAAAGTTGACATGTCATAAAATCCAGTATTTAAATTGTCTCAAATAAAGGCTAGATGAGACATAATTCAGTAAAGATTGTCTCAAACAAAGGCTAGCTGAGGCATAATTCAGTAAAGATTGTCTCAAATAAAGGCTAGCTGAGGCATAATTCAGTAAAGATTGTCTCAAATAAAGGCTAGCTGAGGCATAATTCAGTAAAGATTGTCTCAAATAAAGGCTAGCTGAGGCATAATTCAGTAAAGAATGTCTCAAATAAAGGCTAGCTGAGGCATAATTCAGTAAAGATTGTCTCAAACAAAGGCTAGCTAAGGCATAATTCAGTAGAGATTGTCTCAAATAAAGGCTAGCTGAGGCATAATTCAGTAAAGATTGTCTCAAATAAAGGCTAGCTGAGGCATAATTCAGTAAAGATTGTCTCAAATAAAGGCTAGCTGAGACATAATTCAGTAAAGACTGTCTCAAATAAAGGCTAGCTGATGCATAATTCAGTAAAGAATGTCTCAAATAAAGGCTAGCTGATGCATAATTGAGTAAAGAAGGCATGTAAATTCTTCAAAATGGTAACACTGTTCAGTGTTGCTGATCAAGTAAAAAAAAAAAGAAGATGAGTACAAAACCTTGAGTGTCAATAATCTTCTTGTGTGTTTAACATCCTTGAATGTGGTCTCATTTTAATACTTTGTTGTTGCAATACTGATTCTTAAATAGTTTACGTGTATGCTGCAATAATTTCTCTTTAATTTAATTTATTATATGTTACTATGTCCGCTCTGTGGCTAAGTCGATGCAAACGCTTCGCTTTGTAATGCCGGGTTCGATCCCAGCTGCGGGCAATGCGCCTTGCGTTGGTTTCGACAGTGGTATCAAGAAAGCCAACCGTTCAGAAAGCAATGGCAAACTACTGGACGTAAATTTGCCTAGAAAAACCACACAACAGCACAAGTGGTTCTGCAACGTCCTGTAAAAGATACGCAACTAACCTTATATGTTACTATACAGCCAATACATTTACTTCAGGAAAGTTTTAGCTCTGTCGTGTTGCAAGAAAGAAAAACAATTGATCTCAAAATTAATTATGTCCAAAACCCAGAAGAAAATCCTATCCTGAAAGAGTTTTAATGAGGTACTTATTTAGTGTATTTAATGCAGCACTTGTTTAATGTCTTTAACATGTTACTTGTTTAAAGTCTTTAATGTCGTACTTGTTTAAACACAGAATTCAAATGTGAGAACCAAAATACGTCACTGAATATACTTTTTCAGATCTTTAATTTTTAAATAGTTAATTAAGCTCGGTGAATTGATTACTACAGCATGTGGCTTTTTCACGTCTGTCTTTACCAAAAATCAACAGACATCAGCAGTGGATAATGATCATTTCAAATGTTTCTTTCAAGATAGTAGGATACTTTACAGATAAAATACAACACTAGTAACTTCAAATTTTGCCCTGAAAACAAAAGTTCAAGAGACTAAAACAATCAACAATATAATCATCTTACCTCCTACAATCAAGTATGCATTAGGAAAGGCCATCTTAGCTTGCATGAGTTGTCGAGCATGTCCTGTGTGGAACATGTCATATATGCCATCAGCATATACACGTACAGGTCTTGGAGCTGAATAAACAACATGAAAACAGTCAATTAAGTCATGGCATAAGTCCACTTATTTCTGTTCTATGTAAGAAGTACATTCAATCAGATCACCTATTTCCCTAACTGAAATACATGCATTTAATAGCAGTTGTGCTAGTAGCTAGCTCTTGACTGAGTTCAAATTTCTCTTCAGGCAAGCACTGTTTTATTAGAACGTGAATCTGAGGTTGACCCAGCATCATTAAATGAACTATTTCCTCTTCATGTTATGGCTAAAACATAAGGCACCCACAAGTGATATCTACTGCAGCCAGTCTGTTGCTTGTATACCCATAAATATTTTGTTTTCTTCCTCAGTCTCTAGTTTATATTTAATTCTCAACAATGTTCCACTGCTTTCCACAGGGTGGATAGACACAAATTATAGAAAGTAATGGCTCAATATAGAGTAAGGGAACACCACATTGAAGTTTGCAGAAGCTTATATAGACTGTAGAAGCGTAGTTTAGAATAAATCAGGCAACATCTAAACCATTCAAAGTAACATCTGGAGTAAGACAGGGATGTGTCTCATCACTACTCCTGTTTATCACCTACACTGGCAGTACAAGCAAGGATGTCAGGTCCAGTAATGAAAATAATAGTGACATCAATGAATTACTCTTTGCCAATGACCAGGTCTTGATTGCAGATACAGCCCTGAATTTGTAACAGCATCTCACATCCATGAATGAAGAATGTAAGTCAATCAATATGAGACTAAACATCCAAAAGACAGAAGTAATGTCAAAAGAAAGAAAAAAGCAGGATTTAAACATAGCATTAGAGCATACATACATTAGATAGGCATCTAGGTTTAAATATCTTGAAATAAAACATTCACTGAAGATGGTAAATTAGACGAAGAAATAGACATCCGATGCAGGAAAGCCGGCCAAGCATTGGAACAGCTAGCCCCCTCCTACAGCAAAAGGCAATCCCAATCAGCACAAAGAAACATCTTATACAAAGCATATTCATCTCCACCCTATGCTACCAGTGCCAGACGTGGTCACTCAGATCAAAACATAAAAGATAATTAGTAACCATGGAAATAAGGTGTCTGAGAAAGAATGCTGGAGTGATCAAAAGAGATAAAATCAGGAATGAGGTCATACGAGATAAAGTCGGCACAGAACCAATTCTAAATTACATATAAAGACATCAAATCAAATGGTTTGTCCACTTGAAGAGAATTTCCTGATGCTATAACCATACCACCAAAAGAGGAGAAGGATGTAGAGCAAGAGGTAGACCAAGAACAAGATGGGAAGATAACATCAGAGAAACTCTACAGCACCACGATGTGTCTATGGTCGAAGCAACCAGAAGAGCACAAAGCAGGACTCTAAATCTCCCTTGACACCCGAAGCGGTAAAAGAGGACATAAAGAAGAAGAAGATATTCCACTGTTGGGAATTATAAAATGGGCATAATATGAGTTGAAATTGATATCAAAGTCAAAATAAAATCTGAATCTAAATCCACTTTTTATAACTATTATTATATCTAAATACTTTTAAGTTACTTTAGCAAACAAATATCAAAACCCGTTGACAATAAACCACATCTACTTGTAGAATATTCTCACAATGACAGCTCAACCTATCTAACCAAGAATTGTCCAGGACATTTCTTCTTGCAAGCATAGATCTTGCCCCTCGTCTCTCCATTCCAAGAATATCATGAAAATAATAAAAAAAACTGCATTCTGTCTAAGGAGGGGACCTCCTCCAATGATAATAAATCATATGCTAAAAAAATGTTCTCTGTGAGCTTATTATTCATATCACTGCAACACACCACAGGAGTTAGTGCTGACACACCACAGGAGTTAGTGCTGACACACCACAGGAGTTAGTGCTGACACACCACAGGAGTTAGTGCTGACACACCACAGGAGTTAGTGCTGACACACCACAGGAGTTAGTGCTGACACACCACAGGAGTTAGTGCTGACACACCACAGGAGTTAGTGCTGACACACCACAGGAGTTATTGCTGACACACCACAGGAGTTAGTGCTGTATAGTAGCCTGTATCCTTGCCTGCTGGACCAATGGTCACTGATTTAAAACCTCATCAAAGCAGATTTTAAAAATTAGCCTAGGCTTCCAGTTTGATCTGGACTAAAATGAGCGGCTTGAAATAATTTGGGAAGTAAATATGACAGTCATAATAGTTAGCACATTACTTTCTGAGTTCAGAATGGGACTTAAGCTTAAAAAAAAATAAACAAGTGGAAACAGGACCTTAAATTTTACCTTACAGACAACACCAACAAACTGTTTAAGTGACTAGAGAGACTGGGTAACACATACCTCTGCCTGCTTTAGCATCTTCTATAGAGATCCGGACTGAGTAATCAATCTGTGCTCTGGTGTCCAACGCTTCCTGCTCGTAACTGAAGGGTGCTGGTCGAATTATGCTCTGAGAAAATCAAAAATTTCTGAATCATGGCTTTACCCAAATAGAATACACCATGACATCATTATTTACAGATGATGGTGCTCACAGGGAAGATTTACCAAGATGTTACTCTACTTTATAACTGTCATAATATTAGCCATAACAACCCTCTCTGTGAAAGATCATATCTGTCATTCATAAAATCCTGCTGTACAAATGTGACTTATTTTCTGTCACAAAAAGACAGCTAGGAATTTTCTCCTCTAATGTTATAAACAGCAGCTCATAAATCAACAAGTATTTTCCTTACAGTGATGTGTAAGGGAAAAATAGTAATGAATATTTTTCACGCCACTGACGTCAGATCCATACTTTTATAGACCAACTGCCACTTTTTGGGTGATATCCATATCACATCAGCCGTCTTTACTTCCAAAGATAATTACTGGTACTAATTTTATATTTTCAATATGGGAGACACAGTCAAATTTTTTTTAAATCTGCCTCGTCCAGACCTAGCAAAAATCTAACCACTAAGCTACTGAGGTTCTGCATAGTGACAGAAACAAATTAAAAATCATAATAAACTGTAAAATGAATTTAAAACCAGGCAGCTGGTCAGTAGGCACATATGGAAAAGAGTCAATAACCTGTGCAGAACATAAAACATGTTAGCCAGCAAGTAAGTGGACAAACATAAAAGGTCAGAAACATTTGCAGAACATAAAACAAATAATCATATCAAAGTCAGAAACATGTGCAGAAAATACAAGACAACTGGCCAGTGGGTAAAGTCAGAAACGTGCAGAATATAAAACAAGACAGCTGGCTATCAAGCAGATAAACATAAAAAGTCAGAAACATGTGCAGAACATAAAACAAGACAGCTGGCAAGCAGGCAGATAAAGGTAAAAGCCAGAAACATAAACAGATTAAACAAACACATTTTCAACAGTAATATATATATATAAACATATCTTATTCATCGTCACAAAATGGCCCATCTTAAATTCAGTCAGCATCTCTAAGCATTCACCCTTCACAAGACAACTGTATTTTATGTGTGATGCATGTTAAAGAAAATAAAACAAGGCAGCTGATTCTAATGTGACAAAAGAAACTTGTGCTGACCTTGGATGACAGATGCTGAATCATGGGACTGATTGGCTGCATAAAACTTGCAACCTCACTGTCAGTATGTGCATCAGCGGAGCTTCTTGCAGCTTCATGTGCTCTTTTCCGACTTGAGATATTGCTGAAATTTTCACCAGCGGTCGCCATTCTGTGATATTCAGAGAATGTAACAGTCTGATCTTTTGAACCTTGTTAAGTGTAATTTATCGATCAGCAAAATCTAAACAAATTCATGATACCAATGTGTACCATCACTGAATATGTCAGGATGTTAGTAGATAATCAATAACTACTGTTTGTTCTAGTAATAATCACGCATTTAGTCAAAGCAAGATATAATTTATATCAAATCATAAATATTCTCTGCTAGTCAGAGACAGAACCAGTGTGATCCAATGTGAGAAACTAGCAGGATATTCCTGTTCTGGTACTTGCTTTATAACAACACCAAACATAAAGTTAGTGATATATTATCAAAACAGATAATCAATCACTGTGACGAAACTGGAATTCTATGGTAAACACAAACAAACAAAACCCACAAAAACAGGAATTCTTCCCGTTCTGGTACTCTTTATAACAACACCAAACATGTTAGTGATATATTATCAAAACAGATAATCAATCACTGTGACGAAACTGGAATTCTATGGTAAACACAAACAAACAAAACCCACAAAAACAGGAATTCTTCCCGTTCTGGTACTTGCTTTATAACAACACCAAACATAAAGTTAGTGATATATTATCAAAACAGATAATCAATCACTGTGAGGAAACTGGAATTCTATGGTAAACACAAACAAACAAAACCCACAAAAACAGGAATTCTTCCCGTTCTGGTACTTGCTTTATAACAACAACAGAAATAAGGTTAAATATACACTATCAGAACTGATAATCACTGTGGGAAACTTCAGAATGCTATACCAATGAAAATAATAAATGTTATTAAGGCAAAGTAGGTTTAGAGTGTGCAGTGTGAATAGATGATTGGTTTGAAGTTGATACTAGAGTGAAACAGGGAAGTAATGATTACAGTAACAGATCAATTTACTTAATTGGGTAGTAATGTTGACAGTGAAGTAAATAAAAAGAAAGAAATTACAACACACATTGACAAGGCATCATTCATTCATTCAGTAGCATGTCCCTCACGGAACCTCGCTGCCATAACAACCCTCCGGAAAACCTTCCTATCATGAGCAAGATGTCCTGCGTCTGATACACCCATCTGGAGATCATCTGCCACATCCTGCACCCATCTTCTCCTTGGCCTTCCTCTTCCTCTCTTCCCAGGCATATACCCCTCCATTATTGTTCTCTCTAGACTTCCATGACGTTTCAAGTGACCAAAATATTTCAATTTTCTTTGTTTTATTGTCTTTACTAGCCAACCCTCTTCAATATTCAGCTCTTGAAGTATGGATGCATGACAAGGCATCAGTAGCTTTTAATAGCTTGAACAAAATATGGGACTCAAAACTGTCTAGTTTTGAAACCAAGCTACACATTTTTAATTCTAATGTTATTTCATTTTAACATATGCCAGTGAAAGTTAAGAGAACATGTTGAGACATGAAATGAAATTTAAATGCATTCTAAAACAAATGCCTAAGGAAAATGATGAAAATAAAATGGGATGAATTCAAAATGAGTGAAGAAATAAGGGAAACGTTTGGTACTCAGAAATTTTTTGTCCATCTCTTCTTCTGCTCAGTATCAGATGTGAGCACTGTACCACCCTTTTTTTTTTTAATGGGACCATCCGAAAGTTTGAAAGTACTGGTTAGCTGTTTTAGTGTATTATATATATAGTATTTTACAATTTCCACTCTTAGCTGACTGTTTTCATCTTTAGCTAATCTATCAACATATGCTATCTTATCTTATCTTGCACAACTTTTTGATTTGTTTATCTTTCTTGTTGTAATCTTCTTTAGCCCTGATTTCTTGTTCCATTGTTTTCACATTCCATATAGAAAGCTTCAATGCCTTTCTTTCCTTAATTAACTGCCATGTGTCAACACTTATCCAAGGTTTTCTATCACACCTTTTTAGTCCTGCCCTAATCACTGTTGCTTTTAAAATTGTGGTCTTTACATGATTCCAATTTTCCTCAATATTTTTATTTCCATCAACTTCGAGTGCTTCAAATATATTTTTCAGCTCAAGCTGGAACTCATCTCTTACTTTTACTTTGTGAAGTCTTTGACTCTCTATTCTTTGTTGCACAAGTTTCTTGGCAACTGTTTTTAATTTAAGCTTTCAATTTCCTACAAACAAGATGTCGTCACTGCCCACATCTGTTCCTCAGTATATATCCCTGTTTCACTCTAGTTTTTACTTTAAAGCAATCATTTAAACATCCTCTGTTTGCAATGCACACTCTGAACCTTAATAAATTTAAAAAAAAATATTTATTATTATCACTGGCATACATTAGAGTCAGCGTCTGTGGCTTAGGCGCTGCGAAAGTACTTTGTAATGCCGGGTTTGATCCCAGCTGCAATTTGGCAGCAGAGCGTCTTGCATTGGTTTCGACAGTGGTATAGAGTGCTGACGTACAGAAAGAAACGGCAAACTACTGAACGTAAAATATGCCTACAAAAACCACAATAGGCAAAAAATGTTGAGGTTTGCAAAGTCCTGTAACGGATATGTAACTAACTTTATTCATTAGACTCTATATTTCCACATAAGGACATCCTGTGTAAGCAATCAAAAGCTTTTTTAAATTCAATGAAATCCTAAATAATGGGTTATTTTTCCTCTAAAATAAATCTCAGGAGGAATATTTGATCTTAACAACTTCTTTAAAATCAAAAACTTGCTGGTTCCTCTCTCAGATTTTTTAGCTGCTATTCCTTTAATTCTACTGAAAATTATTTTTTTTAAGTCTTTGACATTACTTATAAGAGAGTTAGTTCATCTCCAATTGTTTTAAGTTATAGTTTGCCTCCCCCAACATTTTTTCAACTTGTGCAGCTGCGCAGGCTTAACATGCCTAAATAAGACATTGCTAGCAGTGTAAAGTATAATCAGGGCTTTTCTGGCGGTATGCAGTGGTTTTTGGTACTGTCACCTTTTTTTAAGGCATACTACCTACTACTGCAGACAAGCTCAAAGTTCTGCAAGCACAGTGTCATAGTTCAGAGTAGCTGCAGACAAAAGACATCTCATGAATTAAACCCTAGGTAGAGCTAAAGGTCAGATTGAAAAGAGAAAGGTCTTGGATGGTGCAAGCTGAAGACACAATTAGATATGTGTGTAAGCTTGATAAATTTGGGCGAGGAGAGGAGTGGGTCAAAGTGTCCAAGCAAGAATCAGACTTGTGTAGGGTTCTAATCACTTTAGGTCGTGACTGCAGGGACTGAATAGCTGGTGTGTGAGTGAGTGAGTGAGTGAGTGAGTGAGTGAGTGAGTGAGAGTGAGTGAGAGAGAGAGAGAGAGATATCATGCATTTTTTCGTTCTTTCATGGCGTCTTTGCCCAAGTCAAATTTGAAGATGTTGCTAACAAGAATATGAAGGCTAATTTATTACATCGAACGGACGGCCTAGCAAACAATGATTTAAATGTGAATTTAGCTGCATTCGTTCCTGTTTGGCTTTGTTTCGGTTGGGAACGAACAGGCACCGAAAGGACAATATGTAAACTGGCATACAAGTGTTCCTAACGGCTTCTTGGTTCCGTCCAAATTAAAGAGTCATCTGATTTTGTACATGAAGGTTAAGAAATCTTTTAACGCCGCGCTATATATCTTCAGGGTGGGTCATCCATGATGAAGAGAATCTTTTTAAATAAAAATAAAAGGGATATAATGTCAAATTCATCCAAACACCTTCATCAATCTCATTAAAGAAAACTTAACATAAAATCGGCACCTTTTTAAAAAAAATTTTTGAGGTCTTAGAGATGTGGTTTTACAGAACAATGCTTAAAATGCCTTGGACAGCCAAAAAAGCAACCAAGAGGCTTTGAAAGAGGCGGGAGTCCCAAAGACAACTAAACACAGAATTCATTTTTTGGCCATGTTATGAGAAGAGGGAAATGGAACACATGGTGACCACTGGGGAGATCTGTGGATTGAGGGATAGAGGAAGACAACGAGAGAAGATTCTTGACAGTCTCGTTGCAGGGCATGGAGGTGTGTCAGCACATGAATTAATATTTGCTGCAGGAGATCGCAGATTGTGGCGAGGCCACGCTAGTCAGCAAGGCACTCAATGACGATGATACACTATTCGTATTAGGCCAAACAGTTAGCACCCCTTTTCGTATTCGGCCGAATAGTGAACATCACTATTCGGTACAGCCCTATTTTTTACTTTAAATCTCTATTTATCATTAACTCATTAGGTGCCTTCTTAAAACTAGTAAGCTGGTGGCCATTTTTATATGTTAATTAGGCCCATATTACATCATATGTATTTGAGATATGCATATACAATAATACAGATAGACATTACTACCCTGATTGCAATGATATATAGCTGCTAAGGGATTTGTTAAGAAACAGATTAGTTATTGCCATTAAATGAAAACATTTGGTCAGTTCAACCATTTATGTTACTGGGACACAGACCATAATCAATATTTATAGTGGTATCTGCCACTAAAATGGTAATATGTCCGCTTAGAACTACAGGCTTTACTGAGGCACCATTAGAGTAATATTTTAATCTCTATCCAGCTGTGATAGTTTCAATGAAACTTTCATGAATACAAAAAAAAACTTTACTTTGCTGTACACTAGCATCCCTAGTGAGGCAGAGATTAAATAGCATGAAGAACCTATGGCAAAGCACTAGTAAACTGGTTAAACTGGGGATACTGTCACCGGTAAGTTTAACCGCATGCCGAAAAGTGTGAGGACAACAATAGCGACTACGGTATTCGGCAATTTCCTTGACCCTGGAAACCGTTCGAAACTTGCTTCGCAAATGTCGGCTGGGGTTTCGGGATGGGTCCTAATCTCTCATGTAATTTTGTGATTGGTGTGATTTTCACCCACAATAAAAAGCTGAAAAAGGCGGGAAGGAACCCGATTAACAGCGCATGTCTACGACAACCGGACGTCCTCTGTTTTTCTGTTACATCAGTTTGATTGAAAATAGCGATAAGTATTCAGGGTTGGCTTTAGGC